TGTGTGTGTGTGTGTGTGTGTGTGTGTGTGTGTGTGTGTGTGTGTGTGTGTGTGTGTGTGTGTGTGTGTGTGTGTGTGTGTGTGGTGTGTGTGTGTGTGTGTGACAGGGTGGCTCAGCCCCTCGACGCAATAACAAAAGGACCAAACGAGAGTTTTGCCGTGTTTCAGCAGTGAGTGATGACTTTGGCAGAGACGCTGCAGATAAAACACTTTCAGGGCCGAAGCTAAAAGCAAACAGCTGTTCTTCAACCTCGCTCTGCTGTATGATGTTCCTCCACTTCCTCTTCCTCTTCCTCTTCCTCTCCCTCTCCACCTTTTATCTTCCTGTCCATCCACTTATTTCCCTTTTCTTCATGTCTCTTGTTTCTGCATGTCTCTTGGTGACTGTCTTACTTTCTTTCTTCTCTTTCTCTCCCCATGCACCTTCCCTTTTCCTACTTCCTTCCTTCCTTCCTTCCTTCCATCCTTTCCTTTCTCTTAAGCTTTGATTTTCATTTTTTTAAAGAACATATAGCGTTAAGTGGCAGTGTGTGGACTAAAACACAAATCACAAATGTTCTTTCTCTCTTGCCCCTCTTTGTTTTAATTTCTCTGCCCTCTCTTTTCTTATTCATTTCTCCCTCTCTCCTTTTATCCTTTACTTTCCTCTTTTGACTATTATACTCATGTTTCAAACCCGCTGTTGGTTTTTGGACTTGTTTTAAAAGTAAAACAGTAAAATGTTCTTTCTCTCGCTTTCTTTTACTTCCCCATCCACCTTTAGTCCCTTAGTTTCTCTTTCCTTCTTGACACCCCTGTAACTGTCGTGCTTTTTATTCTCTGCTTCTTCCTTCCATCTTTTCCTTTCCCCATTTCTTTTCTTTTTACAAAACATTACACCGTGTTGACCAGTGGTTTGTGGACTTGTTTTGAAATAACGTAGAATACAAGTACATTTCTCTCTCTGTGTCCCTTTCTTCTCTCTCCCTGCTGTTTAACGGGTGAGACGTCCTGACGCCCCGCACTCACACAGCATCATCAAATATTATGACTTAGCTTAATTGAAACTATGCAGCCGAGTGTGTGGCTGCATATGGAATATTTTATGTCGCTCTTGAATAGAAATTTCAAGCACAATGAAAAAAACAACAGATGGGTTCTTAAAGCCGGTGTTGTGGCAACGTGGCCGAGTGTTATGAGTTTGTTTTCCACTGAGTGAAACAAGCAGAGGAGCTCCGGGCTCGCAGAAATGAAAACAAACTTTATTGTAACCCACGAGTCTCAAAACAGCAAAGTGACGAGGGCGTATTAGTCCTGCAGAGTGCACTGACCTTCTGGGGAATGGATGATGAATGCAATAACACTGTTGCAGGATAGCATTGTGCTTCCTTTAATTAACATTTAAAATAATTGAAATTTAAAGAGCGCACACTCCAAAATGTGGGGAATGCAGAAAACATTTGAGCCTGATCTTCCTGCAAGCATTGGGGGTTGACATGGAATTATACAAAAGCATGAAGGGTAACCATGAAACTAAACATGTCCCCCTAACATGAACCAAAACAATGTTCCCAAAAGTACAAAAAAGGACAACAGAAAACCAATAATTCTGCAAAAAATGTTGTTATTCTAAAATGGTACGCTATCTGTCATAGGGATAGTTTTTTATAGGGATAGGTATAAAGGTATGGGCAGCTATATAAGTGTTTATTTGTTTATACCACTTTCTTTATCTGAAAATAAGAATATAGATCCAAACTAATCATTAATTTATTGTCAAACGTTGTGTAAATATTCAGTAAAGTTTCTATGTGCAGTTGAAAATCTACTTTTTACGTTGAGGGTAATCGTTCAAATTCATGGTTGGGTTTGGTGCTCAATATGTCCCCTTCTTCTCCTCCTGCAGGTATGTGTACCACAGCTCTAAGTGGATGGTGGCAGGAAACGCAGACTCCCCGGTCCCTCCGAGGGCGTACATCCACCCCGACTCCCTGGCCTCCGGAGACACCTGGACGAGACAGGTGGTCAGCTTCGACAAACTCAAACTCACCAACAACGAGCTGGACGACCAGGGACACGTAAGAGACCTCTTGAACTTCTTCTGAGTGCTTTTACTGAAAGCTGCACACATGAACATATTGATAAGTTGTTTTTATATGACTTTGGACCATATTTAGATAGTGTTATATTATCAATCAGTCAATCAAATCTCATTTATGTAGCCCAACAGCACAGAATACACGTTTATCTCTGGTGGCTTTTTCTGTACAGCATTAAGTGATGCAAGGTTATTTAAATAGTTCTTTTAAAATGTATTAGTGTCCTAAAATACCTCCATAATAATGTGGAACATGCTAATACTTTCCATGACATGGGGAACATAAGTGATAGATTACACATTTATACATTTATTGACTTCTTTGTTTTTCATTTTAAAAAGTATTTTGATATGGTTACAAGCTATCATAATTTAAATCATATAAATATATCATAGTTCATATATAATGGTTACTTTCTCGTCTGAGTGTGCAGCTTGTTTATTCATTCATAATTCTGATATTCCTCGCTTCACCTAAAGGCAACATAACAATCTTTCAATGAGGTTAACGTGGTTTAATATTTCATGTTTTACACACCTCACAAATCACCTAAATTGAACACATTTACAATAACTGTTGAATCGTGGACCGACAGAATCATCAGTTAAAATAAATGACTGACTTAGCGTTGGAACCTGTAACAAGATGATCCAATTTTCTTTTTTGGGGTAAAATGCTCTGGGAGTAAACGTTCAAGCTGTGATTTATTAGCTTCATTTTCCTGCTATATACTTCATGCTCTGCAGAAATGAATGCACTGCTGGAGCCGTGAGGCAGTTTCTTGGATTGAGATGTTTTTGATGCGTTTGCTTGAAAGGAAAGTCGACACGTTACTTCATGCATTCATGAGTCATGGAGCCATGAGACTGATTTCCTGCTCTACATGACAGTCTGCCCTCCCACGCACTCGTTCTGAAGATGGTCCACCCTGACTGGATGTTATTAGGTTTGAGGATTAGCGTGGAGAGGTATTAGAGGTCTGGGATTTGAACCCGTGCCCTTGTTTTAATATATAATGTTCATTTCCTTCATGGCTCTGTAGAGCATTTTGTAATAAAAATGGTTTCGTTAAAGTCACTTAATGATTGAATTTGATTTGCAGCCGCACCGCTGAGCTAAACTTTTATTCTGACCACAATCCTCCTGATTTACTGCCTCGCCTGCAGCCAGTCAGCAACAGAGGTGGTGAGCTAAAGTACGCTTCTTATTGGTTCTTGGCGGCTCTAAATCTGTAATGTGGGTCTCATAGGTGAAGCAGTTCGACCACAATCCGTTTGATTTACTGACTTCCTTATGTTTAATCAGCAGGCTAAACTGAGTCCTTTATTTGCACTTTTATACTTCTCTATAGTTAGAAATGGGTTTCATGGGAACAGGGCAATATAAGGTGGAAGAAAACGTTATTAGCTTTTGATTATTAGCTTTAAATTGCCCCTTATGTTTAAAAAGGCCCCACAAATGAAAGGTACAAAAACAGTCTGCTAAATATTAAAATATATTTTTCTTGAAATGACTAAACTGTAATATAATGGTCCTCTGTGCAGCAATGCAATTATTTTGAGCATAAAATATCTGAAAATCTCTTCCTGAGGGTCTAGTGTTAGCATGCTAATTTCCAGGAGTTGATGGAGAACAAATCAGAGGAAAAAAGGAAAAATGCATATTGGACTTTAATCCATTAGGTGAGAAGAAATGTCCAATTGACCCTTGGATATCTGATGAATGCGTAAATAGGCTTCTCTTGGTTAATGTCGGCCATAAAAACCGTAAAAGCCAAATGATACGGTCGCTGTCTGCTTATTTTTACATTTATTTCCCCCCCCCAGCGGCCAGATACACATGCATGTAGCTTTAAACACAAGACAAAGACACCATTTAACTCAAAATACAGTCTTTTTGTTCATCACTGACTCCACCTTCACATGATTTAAACTCTAAGGTCATGCTGTGCCTGTATTGAGAACACATTGTTCCGCCCTTAAATGGTCGTTACAACAAATAAAACCAAACTTGTAATTTAAGGACCACATAAATCTAAACAAAATGGCGACTTCAAGTAATATTAAAACTATAACTCAAAGCTCCTTTCATTATGATCTTTGCGCAAAGTATGTAAAGGTACTCAGAGTATTCATTGCAGTTTCCTTTTTTATGGAAATGAAAGTGTATTGAATTGATAGCAAACCCAGGACAGTCTTAGCTCTGTTTTGAGCGTGGAAACAGATGAAGATGGCGACTGTCAAGATATTTAAGAAGCTTTGATTGCAGCAGATATTGGTGCATGAGGATCCGCTGCAAATCAATATACTCTCAGAGCGGATGTGCCAAATGATTACAAGAGCGGCATAGTCATGTTTCCAGTGCTTTGACCAAAAGACGGCCTCCAGTTTTGTGTAGGCCATCAAAGCCGTGCAGATGATCAGCGTTAAGTTGGTAAATGTAAAAACACGTGGATTGTTAGTTGGCAAGGATTCACATGCAGGGTGTGGGGAGGTTGTCTTTCCTCCACTGCTGTTACTTTGAAGGTTTTGTTTTCCATTGAGGTAGTTTTAGAGGCCACAGGAAATTAATTTCAGAGCTATCTGTGCGGGAGAGCTCACCACTCCTCGCTCATCCTGTGTCGTCAAGTGAATGCCTCATTACAAACAGACATGTCGTTAATCATTAAGCAAAACAGAAGCAGAGTCGGTGAGAAAACAACATTTTTTATTATGCACATCTAGACTGATAAACAGCGACTCCACTAGTCTGTGATGATTGTTGCAGGTTTTACCGTTAACTGCAATAAACAACTGTGAGGAGATTCACAACTTAACCAGTCATTTGAACACAATGGTACTCCCTTTTGTAGATGACTGTATGTTCAAATAGGATTACACCATTTCTAGTAGAGACAGGAATGTGAAAGAAACTGCAAAAGTTAAAAACATTAAATGTAAATTTCTAATTTCTACTCTATGCCCCCCCCCAAATTGAGCAAACAGCCTTATTGATTAAAAAACAATTTAAATACTTCATATTTAAATTATTCTGCACTTGAATTAAAGTACAGGACATTTCCTGGTGTGGAGTATCATGGAGAGTTTATTTAAAACAGCAAATCAGAGAAGTTGGAAAGCAGCTGCTTGAGGCAACATTTGTGTTTTCTTTCAGACATAATCTGAAAACAATCAAGCAGCTTTGTCATGTGACTTGCACACAGAAGGCTTCGTACTTTAAGCATTTTAAAGTCGTTGTGACGCCTCGTTGGCCTCTGGCTTCTTTCTCGTGTGTTCAGATCCGCCTCACGCTGTCACTCTCTCCTCTCGTCTATTTCCCGTCCGTCTTCTCCGCTCTGTGGGAAAATCCAATAAAACTCTGCAGCGTTCTGGACCGGCCAAAACATTTCGTCTGTTTCTATCAGAGTTGCTTTGTTGTTAATGATCCATTGCATTGTAATCAAAGCTTTTGTGGGATATCGTTTAAAACTCAGCTGAATGGGTTTTCTACAAAGTCTGCTTTCAACATTTGTCTGTTTTTCTTCAATGCAGTGAATCTGACCCCTCAGAGATTCTTGTTTGAACATGACAGCGGTATATTGTGTTATTCTCATTTACTGTCTCTATTAGTGACCCAAAAGTGAGAGTCCTCATAGTTCTTGGCTGAAACAGGATGTCATTTCAAAAGACATAACTATTGCTTTGATCGCTACATTTCCATGATCATTAAAGTTAAGGCCACACGGTTGTGTAGTCAGGGCTTTATAAACTAAATGTGATTGGATTTGACTTCATGGAGACACATGTGTTACATTGAATGTCCAGATGATTTTCAAAGTGGGTTAAACGGACGTCATTACCAGCATGAAAAGGAAAACATCACTTATTTATCCTAATTGTATTTGAGCGTGAACAACTGTCAGCCGATGTCCTCTGGCTGCCCTCTGCGGCGTTTGTTCAGCGATGTGTGATCCGCTCTGACTGAACATCACCTCAGGCCGAGCAGGGACTCAAGCATGACTCCTCTGGGCCGCAAGGCAGCTGTGTGTGTGTGTGTGTGTGTGTGTGTTTGAAATCTCTATTACCAAGACATGACTGCGATTCAACCTGCGTTCACTTCATAAAAGCTTTTCTGTTCGTTGCTTTAGCACTTGTTGTCTTGTCGTTCTGAACTCATGGGAAAACAGGGAGTGAGGTGTTGTATTTGTCCTGTTTCATCAGCAAGATCTAAGTAGAAAGAGCCCCTATTGTGCTTTTTGGGGTTATCCCTTTCCTGGAGTGTGTTATATAGGTGTTGGTGCATGTAAAGGGTCTGCAAAGGCTAAAACCCCGGTGTGTTTCTCTCCCACGCACTCTTAAATGAGAATAATGTGTCCCCTTATCATTTAGGCCGATTTATTTCTCTAAGTTCCGTTTTTTCTTTTACATTTAGGAGTACAATTCTTTTAAATGTAAAAGTATTTCTTCCTTTTCTTGTGAAACTGCACACAGTTAGGTCCACAGGTGGTCTCTGGGCGAAGTGTAACACAAGGATTGCAGATTACAACATACATCTGTTGGTATCTTTTATGCAGCTCAGCCGTAATTTATCTGGAACATTAAATGTAGTCTTTAATACTCCGAGCTGTGCTCCCCACAGCCCATAGTTTGAAATGACCCCCTCTGTTGTAGCAGAGTCGGGGGGGGGTCGGGGGGGGGGGGGGGGGGGGGGGGTCGGGGTGTGTTTGGCTCTGGGTAGATTTTCTCACTCTCTGATTAATCAAGAGCAGACCGAGGCCCCCGAGGCGAGGCTGGGTCCGTCTGACGCCTCGCTCTGCTGTGAAATAATCCTCGGCCCCGCGGCATCGTCATCGCAGTGTGAACTCGGTTTCCGCTTCATGTCACGTCGTGGCCCTCAAAGAGAAGCCGTCGAGATAATTGACGTTACAAGAAACTTGCATGTAGTGTTGTGTGTTTGCAAAGAGGGAACAAAAAGGCTGAGACTTAACGTTTTGGGGTTTTGAAAGGTTTCGAGACACACTTCACACATGCAGACAGTACAGACATCTGATACCTATCTACTTCATTTATGAACTTCATTGACTTCCTAACCATCTATTATTTCACAACACTAATCCTTACTAAAGCCAAAGGAGCATTGGAGAAGACATAAGAATAACTCAAGGCCACAATTTATTCATTTTTGCACACAACGTTTTAATTTGTGCAGACAAGATATATGTTTGTACAGAGACCCGGCATAACAGACCCGCCTTTCTCATAAACTCACAAGTGCAGTGCAGTTTTTGAAGGACTTCCAATTGACACGTCAAAAAGTCGATAACATCTTGTAACCACAAATGACTTCATCCTAGCTTTGATATTTTTTATTTCTCTCTGCCGGGGTCTGTAGAAATCTCATCCAACTGTCAGAAGTTTGACATCTTTTTCAAATGAAACCTCAACTGTTACTTGGAAGTAATATTCAAATATGTACTTCTTTTTCTGGATATTTGTGTGTGTCACAAGCAAAACAGACAAGCAAAAATGTTCTCAGTCTGGAAGTTGTCCTTTGTCATTTTAGTTTCTTTAGCAAATATTCTCACAAAAGCATCAGCTGTGCTACACCTTCTTCTCTTTCATATTTTTCAGATCATCCTGCACTCCATGCACAAGTATCAGCCTCGTGTTCATGTGATCAGGAAGGACTTCAGCAGCGAGCTGTCTCAGAACAAGCCGGTGCCGAGCGGGGAGGGAGTGAAGACCTTCAGCTTCCCCGAGACCGTGTTCACCACCGTCACTGCCTACCAGAACCAACAGGTGAGCAACTTACATCTAATTCAATTAACCCTTAGATGCACGAGTGACTGGACCCTACACTCTTCCATAAGTGTGTCAAAAAGGACCCGTATTAAAATAATGTGTTTTTATGCCATTTTTGTGATTTTGGTTAAGAAAAATCACTTGTATAATATTTAGTATTATATTTTGGTTCACACTAGAAATATTTTATATTTAATTTTGCACTATTTATCAGTTGAGACATTTTTTTTACATTTTGAAAAAAATAAGAAATTCCATAGAAAATGCATGCGGGTCATTTTTGACCCACTTATGGAAGCTTGGGGTAGTAATACAAAAACTACAATTTCTTAAAATTTAAATTTAAAATTAGAATGGCATGATATTCAAAATATGTTTTTTGAGGAATAGCTGGAATATGAAATGATAAAGAAATGTAATTACAAAGATACTTCAAGAATACCACCTCACCGGGTCAAAAAAGACCCACGAAGCTTGGGGTAGTAATACATAAACTACAATTTCTTAAAATGTATAACATTTAAATTTAAAATTTGAATGGCATGATATTCAAAACATGTTTTTGGAGGAATAGCTGGAATATGAAATGATAAAAAAATGTAATTACAAAGATACTCTAAGAAAACCACCTCACCGGGTCAAAAAAGACCCACTTATGCATCTAAGGATTAAAGGAAGCCACCCCACAAATGTACATCTTGCAATCTCAAAAAATAATACAAATTCTGTGTTCTTTGCAAAACAATTTTATTCATGCAACTCTTCCTGCAAAAATGGTTGAAGAATGTTTGCAATTGTATCCGTCACCACAGCATTCTGTGTACATATGTTAACATTTAGAATCACTTTGTTAAGCCAAAGTCAAAACAAAAAGACCCTCAAACAACAACATTTTTAACATACAATCCACAGTTTAACTACATTGGTCACATTGTCTCCAAAGAACGTGTCCCCTTTTGAAGGAGGGGTGTTCAAATTGATCAAAATGCAATAAAGTTTGCTTTTATTACTAAATCTTAGCATTTGAATGATTAGACTCATTATCAATACTACATGGCATTAAAGGAACTTCCCTAGTTTAGATGAACAGAGACAAATACTATTGTGGAATAGCACAGAAATGTTGGCACATTTGAGTGTTTTTGAAAAGCCATGTTAAGCTAAAATAATCACAAACATCTCCTTTCCACATTCTTCTTGTTCGCAGATCACCAGACTAAAGATCGACCGCAACCCGTTTGCCAAAGGATTCAGAGACTCCGGCCGAAACAGGTACCTTTTCACTTGTATACCAAACCCTCTATATCGTTTGTAATGTTGCTACATAAAAGGACTGTTATTTGTTTTGATCTGTGTGACCTTTAATGTGGAACTAATGGTCTGAATATAGCACTTAGTACCACATGTTGCTCCATATAAAAACAGCTGCTTTGTCTGATGCCAAGAAAGAAAGTCTCCAGATCTGCAGCACAGACAGACAGAGACACTTCTCCTCTTAACTCTCTGTCTTTTTAAAAAAAACTTTTATTGTCATTACACAGTACATGTACTATGTAACAAAATGGTTTATCTGCCGGGGAGCAGTGTCTTGCTCAGGGACACCTCGGGAGCACTTGGTCTTGCCGAGACTTGAACTGGTGACCTTCCAGTTGCCAAGCCAAGTCACCATGTACTTCGCCACCACCGTGTCTCATTCATCTCATGAAATGTGCATGAAAGAAAAGGCAGAACGTGGATGTGGGGCTTAATTAATCAGATAAGATTCACATTTCACCTGTTAATTGTTGTTTTAGCACACCATCCGACAGATTTCATTACATGCAGTACACTGCCACGAGTTCTAACCGGCATAAGAGCCGACTACAATCAGCACACATAATAGTTATTATCTCAGAATCAGAAACACATTTATTGCCAATTAGTTTTAATAATAATTTGCTTTGTTGTGTATGGTGCATACATAAAACCCATTAAGAGAAGAGAAAATGTAAGAAAAAGGACAACAAATAGGACTATTATTTAAACTATTATGAAATAAATCTGTGCAAAATTTATTTTCATTGGCAAAAAGTTAAGTCAAGTACAGGTGAGAATTTTCTTTTGGACAATTTAACTGTGCAGATGTCCTTTACGATACAGTAGCTTCAGCACCTCAGCGATATCAGGGGAGCCTTTTTCCTCAACGCTTAATTACATAAAACCACATAGAGTATTTAGATATTTAGGAGCTCCTGCAGAATGAAACACACCCATTCAAATGCTTTCAAAACAATACTTACATGTTAGCATCTAAAGCAGTGTCCTATTTATTTAGCCCCAGAGATCTAGACATATTTTGACCTGTGAATTACAAAAGCCCTGCTAACATGGTTATCAACACCCTGTCTGAGCAGTGAGTCATAAATCACCATCAGACTCAAACAGGAAATATTTGATATCTTAGCACTCCACTTCCTGTCAGACATCATAAAGCCTGGAAGTAACACACACACACACACACACACACACACACACCCACAGAGAGAGCGCTCCTATTGGACTTCTTTCCTTCCTCTCTTAATTCGTCTTTCTTTCCCTCCGTCTCCGAATTATCATATATAACATTTGCGGAGGAAGGAGAGGGGGGGTGTGCACATGAAAGCAGCGCCCTCCATCTGGTCTGCATTATTGGCACACAGATATTTGAGACATCTTTTTTCATTTTTCCAACAATAGACTGTTTGATTTATGAACTGGCATTAGTATTTCATTGCAGAAAATCTACAGATGAAAAGATAACGGGGGAATGAGATATTCTTCTGGAGGGAGAGACAATTAATTTATACTCACGTACGGCTCGGGATGCCTTCACGTCAGCCATGTTGTTTTGTTCGGGTTTAATACCAGCTTTAGAGACTTTACAGTGAAAACTCAGTGTCACCTTAAAAGGCCTTTCTGCGTTTCTTCATCTTTGATCATTCCTGAATATTGTTAGTGAGCTGCAGCTCTGACCCCTGACCTCCACACTGCTGCTGCTTCTGATAATTATGGTGATTTACTGTAGGACTTTAATAAGATCACGTACAGTAAGAAACGTATCAGTTTGGGTGCAACACTGTTAATGTCAGGTCCCAAAGAGTAAGGTATTAGTAACAGTCGTTATGTTGACCAATTATAATCTGATAGAATACGTGTGTGAATATTGAATATTTGTGATCACACAGAAGCCAAGACCAAGCTGTGACTGAAGCTTAGTTTAATTAGGAAACGTAGCAGACTAATGTTATCCTTTAAAATCAGCTTTTGTTCCAGAAATTGTAGGCGTAAAAACCAATAGTCTATTTCCTACATTTATATTCCTTTTGAAGATCTTAAAAAGATATATAAAACGTTTTCCATCCTGTCAGACAGCATCACATTCACTCTGAATTACCATATCCATTGAGGTATTTTAAAGCCATGACTTTTTGGCCGCACAGTTATCAGATCGGATTTTTTTAATTTACATTTCCCTGGAGTGCGCCAACATATCTGTCATGTTTGGACATTTTTGGTTGCCTTGGTTTGGCTTGTTTAAATGATCCTAGTTACAATGAAGCTGAATTGTATGAAAAAGGCCAAAGGTTAATCACAAAGAAAAGGCAGAGAATATATCACTCGACAAAAGTGAGCTCAGAGAACCAGATAGTAATTCTGATGGAAAACAAATAGTTGCAATTAAAACATCTAACTAGTGCAAAAATATTCTGTTTACCTCGGTATTCTGTAGATTCTGTAGTGAAGACTCTGCATTGACCTAATTCAATAAAAAAGAGCACTACATTTTCAGGTTCAATTTACCTAAAGAAAATGCCGGTTGATATTTATCTATCATTATTTATGAGGAAATGTAAGATAAATAATAAAAATGTTCCTCCTAAAGTAAAACAACTGTCTTTACTGACCTTTTTGCACTCAAATCAGCCAGAATGCAAAGGTTAAAGTGCTGGCTGCAAACATTAAAACAGCTGTGACACCTTTGCTGCCACACGTCTGTTAAACATAACTCAGTTTATACTAGTTTAGGAAATGAGCTTATTAACAGACATCCAGAAAGCATGCATGAAAACACAACCCCTTCTTTGGATTAAGAGTGTCTGCAGCCTGTGGAGCATTACCGACTAGTTCCACATTAAGGGGGAAATCAGAATGAATTTAAAGGGCAAACCGGCACCAATAATCCCTGGATTAAGCACCAGCTTGTTTTTCTTTTTCTGACTCTCCTAACAGCTTCTTAATATAGATCTCTCCCCCGCTCTAAGGTGCAGTCTGGTGACCGGGCTTTATGGCCTGCAGCGGAGGGATACAGCTCATTTGCTGTGTTTTGGCCCCGCAGTGTGTGTGTGTGTGTGTATGAATGAGTGCAGTGATGGCGATTAGCATGGCACACTAACGAGCTGCCACGGCCCTAAAATAACACGGTGAGAAGTGACGGGGCCGAGCGGCCTGCAGGGAAGTAAATCAGGCAGGAAGGAGAACCGTGTACAGATTCAAGATGAAACGTCACCCAGATTTATGTGCACAGTTAAAACCTGCTCCTTCTTAATGGCTCCAGTTTCCCTCAGAGCAGGACTCCAGTTTCTCCCCCACCCCCCTCTCTCTCTCTCTCTCTCTCTCTCTCTCT